GTGGGTGTTGGGTGTGGGTGTGGGTATGATTAGAAACGCACCCACCAACCCACCCACACGCACCCCTACACCCTTACCCATACATGCCCACTCACACCCACCCACACCCACACCCACACCCACACCCACCACAGGATCAACAAAAGCAGATAAACAAGCAATACTAGGTATAAAATCAACAGTTCTTCGACATATGCATGAAGCAAATCGTACTATAGATTTGGAGAATTGGTCTATACTCACGAGAGACAGACATTCATACAGATTATGTGTAGGAGAATCTCTTGCTATAGCTAAATCTCAGCCATCACTAAATATCACAACTCGTTCAGTCCCACTTCTGATATACCCTGAAGGTTGTCCAAGTAAACAGAACAATACGAAAAAAGAGCTGAAACAAAACAAAAAGCGACAATAATCAAATTTGCTTTCTTTCTTATGTCTTCTGGTTTGCTATAATTTTCATGCCTTTTTCTCTTTCTGGTATCTTACAGCTTACTGTGATTGTCATAGGTTGTCTCTTTCTTCCTTTTAAAGCTCCTTCTACTTTAGCATTCATATTATTAATTCCTATTTATACAATCTTTGAGACATATTGACTCTCAAGCATATTTATATGTATATCTCATATATGAGTTTAGTCTCATTATCTTCTCTCTACTGTTTCATCATTCTAATTTATTATATTCTTACTTTTGTCATACTGTTATACTAATAACTTTTTGTGTTTATTGTAGATTATATCTCGTCAATGACAATATATTTATCGAAATGTCGATGCTAAAATGAAAAATAGTCTTTTTCTTGCTGCTGGTAAAACAATTCAACAATACATTACGATATTGCGATAAAAAAAGGTCTTGGAAAAATAAATAAATCTTGAAAAAAAAATAAGACCTAGTGATCTCCTTGCTGATATCTTAGTACACCGAATCCAATATGTTTACTGGCAAGATTCCTGCTTGATGTGCTTATTGATTTTTAACTTTACGATTTTCAAATTATGAAATATTGTATGATCTTCCTTTTTATCTTATCAGGGCAAGTTAAAACATTATTGATCCATAGCTTCATATTCTTCGGTCTAAATTCCATTTGAAATACGATATAGCATTTAATCTCAATTCAATTTCTCCTCAAGGTTTCTTTGTATACATGTATGCATTGATTCTGAATAGAAAAGATTATTGTAGGGAAACTTTATTCGATGTATAACACTGGTGTTATTGTGTTTTTTGTCATCCTCATTGGTTCTATCTATGGAGCTCCAAAAGCTTCACAATCGATGATCAGTACAGATGTTAAGGAGTTGAGTTCATTACTTGAAAAGTTTTGGTCTTTTATATCAAACACAATCTTAAAAGAAACAAAACAAAAATGTCAAGCCTTGGCGAAATGTTGTTCAAGCAAAGATTATTCAAAGGCACTCTCATTGATGGCCGTAAATTTTTCTATTGATCCATTACCTGTTATGTTTTCTGCATGTCTTGGTTCACTTGATCCTAGTCACCTTGCCAAAACATGTCCATCGGCACTAAAATTTGAACCTGACTCTGACACAGATGATGATAATTCGAATCCATTTATTGCACAACTAAACAAATCTCGTGAACCGATACGAGATATCCTTCAAAATATAGCCCGTGTATGCAAATCACATGAAGCTTATTCATACATATGTCTGTCGAACAAGAAATTATTACAAACATGCGTCAAGAAAATTCTACAAAAACAATTGAATACTAATGGAATGAAAAGTTATAAAGAATTAAAGAATAATTATAAAAATGCATTTAATAGTATCAACATTCTTATGGAAATGGTGAAATCAGTAACCAGTATTCAATCATAAATGAACTTCTTTGCTTTTTTTGGTAGTGTGAAAGAAGTATTTAAAATACAAAAAGATTAAATTATGCAGTTTGCATGAAATAAAGAATAATATATATGCTTAATAAGAAAACAATATTTTATAGAGAGTCTCATTTAAATTCTAAAGATCAATAATTGAAAATATTATTGTAGTTTTCCCTTACTGAAATCCTAATCTTCTTTCAAAAAAATCATGTCTTATCAGCTTTCGCACACTTAGACCAATACTCGAAAAGAAAAGTCTTTAAAAAGTTACAATGCATATCTCTCGATGCTAAGACAATTAAAATGTTTTTAATCGATTAAAACCTGTGTTTTAGACTGGTTCGATGCGATATAGTCATCCAAAATATATTAAATCGTAGAAAAGAAACAATAGCTTAACATATAAAATTTCTGTGCTCAAATGCGTATAAAAGTATAAACCTATCGAAATAAGCAGCAACTAATAGAAACTTCTATATAAGATCTGTTAATTAAAATAAGTTAACATCTTTGGAATGCGGATGTGGTTCTTCATTCCATTCGGTCCCACGCTCATGCAAACCCACTCAGAGTCTTAATAAAGAATGACAAAAAAAGCTTAAGCTCGAAGAATCCGAATGTGAAATTAGCTTTTCAAAAACTCAAATAGTTAGTTGTATGAAAAAATCATACTTTTTTCTCTGAATTATTGTCTAACGAAAAAGTCAATTATTTTGAGAAAAAAGAAAACTGAAAATATGGTAAATTCTTGTGTGTATGTGGAATCTCCGATTGTTCCTTACTTTTGGTACCCTCTTAACAATATTGTTATAGGTGTCGGTCTTAGTATGACCTACGGGAGTGGGTATTTCAGTAAGGTGTAGTGTGATAAAACAATTTTTACACACCGCTGGCAGTTGGTGTAAGGTACACAATATTTAGCGATTCGTATTTATTCACAGTGGTTTCTAAGTTAAATAGCTTTTTTCTGCACACTCT